TTCTGATTGCGTAACTCTTTGCAGTATATGTAGAAAAATATCCAGAAGTCATAATTTTCCTGTGAACTTTGCTCGAGAGACCTCGCATCGTACCAATTAGTTTATTTGGCATGTGCGGTAGCTTTTATGATTTTACTTTTGACACTTCCTTGGATTTGCTGCCTCGGAGCATGTGTCACTGTTTAGCTTGTCTTGAAAGTGTGAACAAGGTCATCAAGCTGCCGCATTGGTTTTGGTCAGGCTTAAGGCTCTCCTCCTTAATATCTATAACGTACTACGAAGGAAGCTGAAGTAACCGGTGGGCTGGTATGTGCTATTACTATGTAATAACATATGGTCTTCGCTGTAGGCTGCAGCAGAGCACTGATGCGTGATGACGACCGAAATATTTGTTTTGTTTTTATGAGATGCATCTGAGAATGCGCGCACATGAGACCGGTCTGCCAATCTTACTGGCTCCCTTTGCTATTAAAGCTAATATGATTGACGTTATTTAATAAAATGCTGCTTTAAAGGGGAACATCAGTATGTAGCACATTCAGTATTTCTGAGTGTTGGGCATCCAAGATTTGTTTTGAATTAATTTGAAGTGAAGCTTTTGGCACAAAAAGCCCCCCGCTTTTTTTCTTGTTTTGTCACTTTGGACAACAGCGGATCATCCATCAAATGCTGCAGCTGGTTCACACTCAAACACCGTGACAACTTCTGGATGGAATGTATTGCTTCTAATAGAGATCATAAAGCTGATCACGGGATATTAAAAATCAATTAGTGAACGTGAAAAGCACGCCTGGTTTGAGTTATCTGAAAGTCATACAAGCAGCATAACCGTAATAACCGTGGTTACGCTTCTTATTTTATACTCTGGCAAGAAAAAAAATATGTGAACTGTTGGGTAAAACAAGGGCAGCTTCTCAGTCGACACGATATCATGCATGAATGACTGTTTTTCTTTTCTTTTTAATAACATTTGTTTTGAATTCAAGATGTTTCAGCTTGTGACACCAGAGCAAAGTTTGAAGCAGTCAATTCACATTTCAGCGACTGGCAGGCCTACTTTTCTGTATAAAGCTAATTATGTTTGACATGTTTTTCATGCTCAAACAAGACATATCCAGGTTTTTGAGGCCTCCCAGCAATTCTGTGACCCAAATAGGTGATGTGATTATTGGAGATCTAGTACATCCTGTCAAGTAGTTACTCCAAAAAGGACAATTACCACATTTCTTTGTGTTGTTCAGATAAACACTACCTCACTCTCTCTTCCCTGTTCTTTTTGGAAGTCACTCTCAGTCACATACTGAGTTAAAGCTATCAAGCATTTAAGAAGAAGACGCACAAATGCGGCACAAAATAGTAGAGCAATAGCTGGAGTATGCTAAGGTCAATGCACAAATCCTTCATTCTCTTCCAAGAGGTGATTACTACTGTTTAACTGGCACAAGAGCAAATGGTAATTTACTTTTAATGCTTGCCAATGTCCTGGAAAATGAACTAAACTTGTTGTGCTCGTTTATCATAAGTGCCTAATCTGTTATATTTTTAGAAACATTGCTGGAAAAGTAAGGCAATTAATAGACTGTAATCCACTGACTCTTTGATGGAACACACATGAACCACATGTCAGCTTATTGCACACATTTTTCACATGTTCCTCATCAAAGCAACAATATACAGAGGTCAGTAAAGGTACTGTAAGGAATTTTTTGAGGTTGTTTAATAGAAAAAAAGGTATCAAATACTCAGAAATATCCATTCATTAGTGTGTGATTACATTTTCCAACTAAGAGCGGACGAGATGGTCATTGCCTCTGCGCCTAATCGCGTTTTATGTATGTGGCTACATATATTGTACGCTTTGTAATCAAAATCACAAATGGCTCTTTTAAAATATATCTGTCCATTTAACATTTGTACACGTAAGATATTGTCATCTCTTTCTCATTATGTCTTTCTCCTCCACCAGTGCTCTACTCCCTCGTTTCCATCTCATCCTCGTCCTCCTCACATTCAGCGTCATCTTCTGAACTGAAATCAGGGCTGTGACACACAGAGTCGGGGATAAACATGCTTATTTATTCCTGATATTGTTGCAGTTAATTATTGTCAGCTGTTCGTCTCCAGACAGCTAAACAACAGCAGCTGGTTATAAGCTAATATCGTGCCAACTAATGTTAGGTTCAAGTATCCTAAAAATCCCACTTCCCACTTCTCACATCATATGAAAGTTTAAAGACGTTACCTAATGCCAACTAACAGCAGGGAACAGTTGCAAAAAAAAAGCCGAACTTACAGGCAAAAAAGTTCAGGATATCCTCAACAACTCATCTCATTATTGCTGCCATTGGACAGAAGTGAGCTTGAATATTTACAGTCTCTTCCAGAAGAAATACAGGTGGACACCCAGCATATTGACAGCTGAGGTACACGGCTCAGTGATGGCTTGTACTCACTACAAATAAATGGTGGACAGAGTTGTTTCTCCTATAGTGGTCACTATAGTTAGGTTCATGCACTTAGGGGGAAACGGGATGGGAAAGAAAACAGAATTCAGTTGACTGCAGTCTGCAACCTACTGACATCTAGTGGTGAGATTTTACACACTGTAACTTTAAAGTTTCCAGCAATATAAAACTGTTTTACTTGGCACTTCATTTTTAGAATTACAACTGATGCTGTATGTCCAGATGAACCATGCGTGACAAACTCACGCTCATATTAATTAATATAATGAACCCTTACTGTAATTTCAGCATATGTATTATGAACAGAACATACAGTTAACATGAGGGGGAAATAATCTACAGGTCCTAGAGCTGTTTTGATATCATGTATATATGTATATATATGTAGGTATAGTCTCATTTTTTCAGCTGACCTCAAGTGGCCAGTCAAGGAACTGGAGTTTTTATTAACACTTAGTATTATTAATACTCACAGTGTGAAACAAATTACGTAAACATCCTAGATTATCTTCTATCATCTGTTTTCTGTTAGCTGTTACCATGAGAGAAGATCCTTGACCAATGGACAGATTAGAAGAGTTTAAAAGATAACCTTTTGTGTGGAGATGCCCATCCTATCTGTCAGAGGGTGAGAGGTAAAATACACCCTAGACAGGTAACCAGTTCATCACAGGGACAACACAAGACAATGAGACACTCGTCATTCACGTCACATTCACACCTATAGCCATTTTAGATTACCAGCTGCCGTAAACATGTCTTTGGACTGCGCAAGCTTCTCTCATAAAGGACACAGCAGATCAGGAGGTTCCACAAAACAGAACCTTCGTGCTGTGCCTTGAATACAAAGTAAGTATTTTATAGGGTGTTAATTTAGTCAGAGGGTGTTGGTTAAGTTTGAAAATCTGTAGCAAGTCACTTGAACTGGCCAGTAATGGCTTATTTTATTGTTAAACTTTCGCAGGCAGTTTTGAAGTTTGCAGCCTGTATGGCAGCTGTGCCCTGCATGTTTGCAGTCCTATAGTAAAAAGTAGGACAGCTGTCGTTTCCAAATTAAATAAACTGTTTCTCCCAAAGATTTGGGCTTTTTTAGCAACATGCATTTAGTGGTGTGATGATGAGGGTAAAGCTAGACTTTAATTTTTATTTTTCCTGGTTGGAATGCTGTATCTCTCACTCTGGTGCGTGACAGGAGTCTGATCCCATCGTGGTCCTCGCTTTTGTAGTCTAGGATGACTGAGTCTGAACCGAAGGGCTCTAGTGACAACCACTTAAAAGAGACTTCAGATAGAAGCTGTCATTATTTCCTTATAAGGACACAGAGGGCACGGCTAGGTGAGGCCACACACACTTCGGAACATTTAGGAGATATTTGCTTTTGCCAAGTCTTGAGTATTAAAGTGCAGTCATATCGCTAATTTCCAAAAACTCTGTGTAAATGCAATGCACAATATTAGCTGAATAGGCATGTCTGTTTGGCTTATTGACAAGGGAAGAGGACCCCCTCCTATCCCAGCTTAATTTAAGATTACATCCCACCATAAATGTGTCATAACAGATTTAGTAGCTCAGTGTTTAAGTTCATAATTCTTCTGGGCCTCCCTGTCTTCACCAACCTACTATTTCGCTGTATGTGAGTCCCTATTGAGATGTCAACAATTTTATGAAATGTCCATCAATTTCAACGTTATTAGATCATACACACGCCCGCCTGCCATCCAGACTAACCGAGAGATTTTAACCACACGGCGCTGGACGAACACTGCAAAACAGTCGTGCGGTTGGCAACGTCCACACAGACCCAACAATTTTTGTTTTAAACCTAGCTGCATGCTTTTATGGAGAAGCGGTTTATTTTTGGAGGTTAAAACGCGACTCTAGCAGAGGTCACGTACTGGACAGTGTCTACAGCATTTTTCATGTTTGCATTATTACTTATGAAGGCGTAAGAGGCGCGCAGGGTCTCTTTTCTTTTTCCTTTTTCTTTTTTTAAGTGCCTACTGTTTTTCAAATACTGATGCTGATGTAGGATGACAGACTTATGATTTACAAAGAATCTGACATATATTCAGTGGCTTTAAAGAGGCTCTCTTTCGGTCTCTGTGCACGATACAAAGGGAAAGGCGCACGCTTTGGTTGGGATAGACAGACCTCCCACTTATCAGCTATCTGTTGATAATCCTCCAAGCGTGACTCCTATTTCCTCCTGACCCATTTTCAGGGTTTGTTTTGGATGAGCGTGGGGTTCATGTGTCAGTGCACGTGGATGCCACAAATGGTGATGATGATTTATGTTTGACCCCTGTGTGGACTTTTTCAGGTCTTTGTAATGAGTTCCGGGTTTTGCTCCTCGTCTGTAGGAGTATGGAAAGCTTTCACAGGAATTAATTGTGGTGAACTGCTATGTGCTTTTATCACCATTTAAATGCTTCAAAGTGACAGCCAGATGCCGCGAGCACAACTCTAGGAGAGCACCCACGTGAGATGAGGTGTTTCTTCCCCCCGTGAGAACCTCTCGTGTCTGTTGTGTATCAGGGCCTTGGCTCGGAGCTTAGTTGGAAGTGCGATGGGGACCCGCAGCCAGGAGAGAAGGTCCTGCAGGATATAAAGGAGAGGAGAGGGCAGGAGAGGCGGCTCCAAGAGATCCAACGGCAGCTGGAGCTCCTGGGTCAAAGCCAAGAGATGACTGTGAGTTCAAAGCAGCTACACACTCACGAGAAAACACATGCTCGTGCGCACCCAAATACTTGCATACACACAATATGTCTGTGTTGTGTGCATTATAATGCTCCAAAGCGTTCATCTGTAGACACGTGTGTAACAAATTATTACAAGCATACAGCTCATTCTCTGTCATTCTTAGAGTGAGAAGATGAAATCACATGCAACATTCGTGTCTCTGCAGACCCATAATTCTTCCTCTTTTTTCCTCGTTTCACTTCTGTCTCTTTTCAGTTTACAGTCTCATGTCTGGTTTATACCGATGAGCTAAAGTTCGCCCTCTGCCTCTCTTGATGCATGGTTTTGATCAGAATTCAATTCAATTCAGTTTTATTTATATAGCGCCAAATCACAACAAAAGTCGCCTCAAGGCGCTTCATAGATACAGAGAAAAACCCAACAATCATATGACCCCCTATGAGCAAGCACTTTGGCGACAGTGGGAAGGAAAAACTCCCTTTTAACAGGAAGAAACCTCCGGCAGAACCAGGCTCAGGGAGGGGCGGCCATCTGCTGCGACCGGTTGGGGTGAGAGAAGGAAGATAGGATAAAAGACATGCTGTGGAAGAGAGACAGAGGTTAATAACAGATATGATTCAATACAGAGAGGTCTGTTAATACATAGTGAGTGAGAAAGGTGACTGGAAAGGAAAAACTCAATGCATCATGGGAATCCCCCGGCAGCCTACATCTATTGCAGCATAACTAAGGGAGGATTCAGGGTCACCTGGTCCAGCCCTAACTATATGCTTTAGCAAAAAGGAAAGTTTTAAGCCTAATCTTAAAAGTAGAGATAGTGTCTGTCTCCCGAATCCAAACTGGAAGCTGGTTCCACAGAAGAGGGGCCTGAAAACTGAAGGCTCTCCCTCCCATTCTACTTTTAAATACTCTAGGAACAACAAGTAGGCCTGCAGAGCGGGAGCGAAGTGCTCTAATAGAGGCCAGGATGGTCATTTTCTCCATTGATAGCCTTTTTGTCCTCCTCCATGTTTAATTGCTTTCTCGCGATCTTTGCCAAGATTCAGTGTCTTCGCTCCACAGTGTTCCCTAGAAACCACTGAGCACCGTCTGATCTTAGGAGTCTGCAGAGTTACAACCAGAGGACTGTCACTAAAGGCACAATGCAAGAATGTTCCAAGAACAAAGGTGGACGGGCCTGATTTCTGCTCTCTCTGGCTCTTATGACTTTAAATTTTCTTCTGTTAGATAAAAGGAAAACATCAGGGTTAATACATTTATTTGTTAGATTTTGTTGGTGCTAAAAGGGAAGCTCCTGCTGCTGTTTATGGAATTCTTTTTATCAGTTCTCACACTGATGAATCACAGTGTGATGTATATTCAGTATGTCTAATTTAAACATAAAAGATGGGCATTTCTCTGACAAATAGTGAGGTAATAAAACCACCGAGCGGCAGCCACACCCTTACATCACACGGCATCACGCCATGCAACTGAGGCTTATTCCTGGCCTAATTAAGGAGAGACAAGTGGAATTTTGTTGCTAATTAAGCCGAGCTCCATTCAAGGAAAACCGTTCTTTCATCGTGATTCCAAAACATCAAACCCACCAGTGCCTTAACTACTGGTGCTGCAACACACTCTTTGCGTTTGACCATGTGTCACTGCATTTTTATATAGTGTGACTAAATGAGTGAACCCAGCGAGTGACTTCAATGTAAACAGCAGCCTCACAGTGTATATATTTTTAGTGCCACAGGCCTTGTTTTGTGGCTAGAAAAAGATTTATTTGTACAGATTTTGTCTGGGAGGGCATACTTAACCAGTCTCACACAGCTGCAGTATACTCATAAAGTTGATTTGTATAACATACATAACTCAGAGACTCTCACAAGATTTTTGGGCCTCCACGTTGGGTGACAGCCGTCCCCAGAGGGATAACGTTATGCATATATCCCAAGATCCCATTCTTGTGAAGACAGAATGTCGTGAATGCCTTCGGGACAAATATTCACTTGAGCACTGTAATGATTTCAATAGATCTGTGTGTAAACTGCAACTTAGCCATAGAACCAAAGGCTGTATTTCCAGTTACACCTGCTGTCTGCTAGCTATGCAGTGTTTCTGTGTAGTTTTCTATTGGATTAAAAAATGTGATAAGAAGAAATCTATCCATCCATACATCCATGTATTTTCTTCTGCTTATCCAATTCAGGGTTGTGGGTGAGACTGGAGTCTAAACCAGCAGCCATACATCCTGGACAGGTGGCCAATTTCTCACAGGGCCAGCACAGAAACTATTTACATTTATAGCAAAGGAATCATCAGTTAACCTAACCCCTCTAACCTCAACTAACCTCTTCCTCTAACCTGGGGAGAACCCACACAGACACGGGGAGAGCATGCAGACCAAACAGAAAGGCTTTGACCATCTTGCTGTGAGGCGACCACTACGCTTCGTACCTTGTTGGTGCAAAAATATTATTTTATGCCTGTCGAACTGTGTTATCTTTGGCATTTTTCATAGACTCGACTAAGGAAAGGAGAACAAATGATATGCTTTTGCAACAGGTTGCTAGTAACAAAGTGCCTAAAGATACAAATGGGTTTCTCTGTTATGTGTAAACACAACAGTGGTTCATCCCTTGGGTCGAGTGCCTTTTTTATGCTTGAGTGATTCATATGTCAGTGTTAAGTGGCTTAAAAAACATGTATGTAAAAAAACGTAAAATGGTACAAGGACTGGACTGAAAATGACTGAAGAAAAGAAAAACTTTGAAAGGTCTTCAGAGAGTCTGGTGAACCACTGCTTAAGAGCACTTTAAAAAAAAATTCCTGTTATTGACTTTGACCAAATTCAAGTGTGTGATTAAAGGAGAAGTTAGGAAGGTGAAGTATTAGGTTTTTCGTAGCTATTTATTTAAACAAAAGGATGCTTGAAATACGGTAAAACAAAGATATCTTAAAATAGCAGATTTGACGAGGTTAACAAGCCTATTTTTCTGAAGAAACTGCGTGATGCTCGACAGTTGATCACATGCTCGTTTTCCTGCAGCCCGTTTTGGCTGCCTTCCTAAATCTACAGCAAAAGGAAGGACAATCTCAGCATTTACTGTAAAACAGGATAGTTCCAGCCCAACGGTCTTGTTTTAATCAGGCCAACACTATAAGTCATACTTCCTCACTTACAGCAGTTTGTTATTACCTCATTATTTCTAGCATTTATCGGAACAGCAGTCTAGGTTAAAAAAATAATAATAAATTGACTTATCTGGATCTGAATCTTAAAATCAATTATCTGTCTCTATGCATGCTTCACCACTTTCCTCACTTCACTGCATCCACAGCTGATGGCTGTTAGCTACTAGCTTATCTCCCTCATCGGCTCTGCTTTGTCACCGTATGATCTTTGGAAAGGGCTCAATTTGAGAAAAGTCTCTTCTCCACCGGTCTCAGGTTTTTCAGCGTCACTATGATCTCTCCTATCTCCTGTACATGCTCTATAACTCAACTTCAAATATACAAATTCAAATTTAGGAGGTGACACCGCTTTTGGATATATTTGCGGAAGCAGCTCCTAAGTTTCAAGCCTCGGGACAGACCATGGCAGACGCTGTTTGAAATATGGATGCAATATAGGTTTATTGACACGGGGCACGTCTGAGCCTGCCTAGCCTCCTAAATATTGAAGTTATGATTGGTGATTTAGTAATTTTGAACTTTTACAACATGTGTCATTTGGGAGGATATGTAATATGTTAGCAAGCTCAGAAACTGAAAGATACTTTTATCAGCAGCTCTCATGTGCACAGAGATGTTTGTCCCACATTAAACATAGGAACATTGTCTAGCTAGCGTTAGCCATCTCAGGCAGTCAGCACTCCTGACTCCTGAAGTATACAGTAAAGAAAAGCCAGAGTCTTTTTTTCCCAATTACACAGTGGCATTGTTAAGTATGCAATCCAAAGCTCTCAGCTTTAAATCTGTCAGATTTGAACCCTTTGCTGCTGCAACCTCTTCTGCTTCTGTTCAGGGTCTGCAAAGGAGACTAGGATGAACAAAACAATTGACACATGGCTCTTAGAGTTAAAACCAAAGACTATTTTATGTTGATATAGCTGTTAGAGTTGAAGCAGAGGCTCTTTGGGTATTTAGGAGAGTTACTATGCATTAAAAAAAAAGTTAAAATATATATTATCTGCTATTTGACATGACATATTTACAATGTTGGTGCTATGCTACTGTATAGCAGAATGGGAGTGAAATAATTAAGTTATTGCACTCCCATTCATTCTAAGTTCTTCTTTCTCCCGGAGGAGTAACTTCTGGGTCTGTGGGCTATAGAGCTCAGGTATGCAACTGAAGTCAGTGACCCTGAAAGCTGAGCGGCCCACACTTGTGCTCAAACCTGGTCTTGCATCCTGTGTGTACAGAAGCGCAGGATGAGCTGTGGTAGAGGTGGTAGTCCTCTGCAGAATGTAGCTGGAGGGCTCCACGTCTCTGTCTTTGCCAGATTTATCTCCCTGTGGAAAGCTGATCATGCTCTGAGAGTGGCGGAGAGTTCTGATCTTTCACCAAAGGTCAAGAAGTTCACTCGCCTTGCCATTGTTTGCTGGTGGAAGAACTGGATTCACTTTAAAATAAAAACTATTTAATGACCCCGGTGACAATAAAACAGAAACTGTCAAAGGCCTGTAATTTGACAAACTCAAGATTTTCCACTTCCACCTTGGATTTTACATGTTTATTACAGAGAATCATGGTTGGGATTGCTAGCTTAAGGCTTTGCAGCTTACACAGTTCTTCTCTTCACAATAGATTGGTTGTTAACAATACATTGCTCCATATTTACATCTTGCAGTGTGTGAGATGCTTGTATGTACGCGACCCAAAACCACCCAGAAACAAAGTTTTTATCTATTCCTGCTTACTCATTCACTTCCCTTCAGAATCGCTCTGATAGTGAATTCTGCGTTTATGAGCTGTCATGTAAGCCCAGCGTTGTTGTTCCTGTCTCACTGATAACCTAGTGGAACAAGGAGATGCTCCCTGGAAGCACCTTAATCAATTTTGTCAAACATTTTCTTTGGAAAGCTTTCCTGTAATCCCAGCAGTTTTCTGTGTTGTTTACCAAAATTCATGTGTTCCCTGCTGCTAGGAAACCGAAACCTTCCAAGAAATGAAGGACCTTAAATGGTTGTGTAGCAGCAGGAAAGCACGTATCAGTCACCCACAGACACCCCTGGCCTCCTCAAGTACCGAGGTCATCGGAGGTCAACCACTTTTAAAGAGTTGTAGCATTTTGTCAAAGCAGTAAAAAGAACATTCTTTCTTCCTTCTTTCCTTTCCTCTCCTCTCTGTTGGAAAGTCTAACCTGTTCCCATCTCCAAGACGGCTGGTATCAGTTAGAGGCATTTCAGACCATTTAGGCTCCAGCCAGTGGGGCACTTTTTATTGCCCCATTCATGTACACAGAAAATAATGACAAGCCTCTAATTCACTTGTAATTTTTTTCTTCTGCCATTTGTCTCAAGTTGCAGGAATTACTCACTTACGTTCAGAAAAATGTACGTCTCCTTTCCTCAACAAACATTTTCTGTGACTGAGGTGTCAGTTGTTACATAAGAATATATCTAAAGAATAGCTAAGCGGCTCTAGAATGGATAGACATTTATTTATACTCTATATTTTTTTGCATACTCTATATTTATTTACATTTTTTGTTTGTTTGTTTTTTCCGAACTTACACTTTTATTGTTTCATTTGCGCCATGTAGAAGCAGAGGTCAAGTCCAAAGCTACATGAATGTTGAAGGGTCAACATAATGAACCGCTCCAGGGGGGCACTGTGGGGCGTTTGTGTCTGTGGTGCCTGTGTGCTCCTGTCTATTGGTAAATGATGACATGTCTGGATAATTGTGAGGGTCAAAGATGAGTAACACCACCCAACCTGCCATGACCTAAAGGGTATGATTACATTCTGGAGGACTTTGAACATGGACGGGATTGTGTGGTAATGTCTTGTCAGCCCACTGACAAGGGGGTGGAGCGTTTCAGTGGGTGGTCAGGTCAGCATATGACCGGTGAATAGTACTAGCTAAAGGGGGTAGATGAGACACGGGAATTACTCTGTGCGGTGTGAGGAAGAGGTGAAAAGAATTGCATTTTGTAATATCTTCTTAGGTCACTGTTGTTGCTTTTGGTTTCTAAAATCTATTGTTTTGGACGTCAGTCAGGCATTATGAGCACCTGTATAAAGTTGTGCTTGTCCCTCTTTTGCTGCCAAAACAGCCCTGACCTGTTGAGGCATGGACTGAACTAGACCCCTGAAGGTGTGCTGTGGTATCTGGCACCAAGATGTTAGCAGCAGATACTTTAAGTCCTGTAAGTTGCAAGGTGGGGTCTCCATTGATTGCGCTTCTTTTACCAGCCCATCACACGGATGCTCAATTGGATTGAGATTTGGGGAATTTGGAGGCCAAATCAACACCACAGACTCATTGTTGTGCACCCGCTGGCAGGGTGTATGATCCTGCTGAAAGAGGCCACAGCTATCAGGGTTTCCATGAAAGTGTGTACATGGTCTGCTTAGGTAGGTAGTACGTGTTAAAGTAACATCTAGATCAAGGGTCTCGAACTCCAGGCCTCGAGGGCCAGTGTCCTGCAGGTTTTAGATGTGTCCTTGATCCAACACAGCTGATTTAAATGGCTAAATTACCTCTCCAACATGTCTTGAAGTTCTCCAGAGGCCTGGTAATGAACTAATCATTTGAATCAGGTGTGTTGACCCAGGGTGATATCTAAAATCTGCAGGACACCGGCCCTTGAGGCCTGGAGTTCGAGACCCCTGATCTAGATGGACTTTGCCCAAAGCATTGGGGGTTTTGGCAGTCGGAAGGTGTCTGGGACTCTGCAGTCCCATGTGCAAAAAAATAGCAATTGTTCTGACATCTTTCTATCAGAGCCTGTATTACATTTTTGGCAATGTGAGCACCTTATGCCTTCATCAGTGAGCCTTGGCCACCCATGACACTACGGTTCCTTCCTCGGGCCACCCTACAAAGAGCTGCAGTTTTGGAGATGCCGTCTAACCATCACAATTTAGTCCATGTTAAAGTCATTCAAATCCTCACACTTGCCCATTTTTCCTGCTTCTAGAACACTAACTTTGAGGGCAACATGTTCACTTACTCCCTAAAGTGTTGGTGTTGTATTGTTTTGCTGATCCAAAGTAGTAGGGGAAAAGATCAGTTAATACTAACTAAAGACTGTGATTGAGATTAGGGACAGAATATCTGGATTGCATCCTTACTTCAAGGCCGGGGACATTTATTTCACTTAGGGCTGACAGCTAAAAACACGAGCGCAGAGAGAATGATGACAGCGATTTCTGTTCAACTCAGAGATTTAACGTTTGTGTCTTCTTGACACTTTCTTGGCACGGTGCTCGTGTCACGGAAGGTAATGAGTCGATAATATTGGAACAAATTGACTGTTGAGTTGCAGCTGTTTAAACAAAGTACAGCGTCCTTACACCGTGAAGGTAAATTAGTTACGGTCGCCAGGAATTCAGACTTTGCATATAGCGCCAAATGACGCGTCATTCCCAGGAATAGATTTTGACGTTAATTTAACTTTCAAGACCTTTTCCTCATAACCTAGTTTTCTTTCATCCTTGAACTCACTCGCTGTCCCAGGCTGCCTGTGAGGAGTCTGGCTTATGCGTAGAAAAACAAAACTAGCATCCAAGTGGAAGTGTTTTTCCCACACACCTTCCAACAAAGCAGAGCGGTGCGGTACATTATTATGAAGTGCCACTGTTATGTGAGGTCATGTATTAATACAGCACTTTGTCTGGACTTGTCAGAAACTAAGCTTTAGACCCAGTAAAATTTGTTTGGAAGAAATGCAGGAATGATGTCAGCAGTTGGTCACTTTTTATAATATTCGGCACACGTGACTTGGAAACAGTTACGCATCTACACATCCGCACCGTAGGCCTGCGTGTGGAACGAATCTGCAAATACACACATATTGTTGTGTCTGTTTAATTGATTTTGAAACTCTAAATTCACAAAAGCATCACTGAAATCTTACATCTGTTGGTGGGGTTTTTTGGTTTTTTTTGCAGAATGAGTCTCCGGACCTGACTGAGGAACAGTTGCTTTGCCTGATGGATGGATGTGAGCTGGCAGAAAGTTGGAGCCAGGACCTTGAAATGAATGACTCAACATAAAGACCTGAAAAAAAGATTGACTGCTACCAGATTAGGGATGGGTATTGATA